TTAAAGAAATATCTATATATATATACATAATGTACATATATTTTACATAATCTGCAAACAAATTATTTCCTGACTGGAAAAAGGAATCCTTAATTTTTGCTTGGTGGTTACATTTAAAATAGATAACGGAAGGTTAATTAAACCTTATATTCCAATCATTGTCATCTATTTCATTTACCAACTCAACACAATTGACAAGGATTTGTTTAGATAGTAACATTTCTTCAAATTCTCCAAGGGGTAAAGTGCCAAAAAAAAAGTTTTGAGTTTAAAATTGTTCGTTAAATGCAGTTAGTCGTTATATCGAGTATCGCTATAATTGATTTCTACTATGTATTTGATTAAACATTGAAAATATACTGTGACTCCCACCCCCACCTGTTCCATACGACTTTATTCGTTTTATGTACGAAGAAGTCATTTCTCATATTTATGCGGAATAGGACGGATACATTCTACATATAATCTTTAAATATTTTTGGTGGTTACAACTATCAATCTAATCAGACCAGCACTACACTATGGGTGTGTTGCGCATAGCAAAGCTGCCAGTCTACTATCCAGAAGCTGCAAGTTGCTCAAAATCAGATTCTCCGAAGAGTCTTCATAGTGCTCTTGTAGAAGTGCCATAGAATGAACTTTGTCAAAAAATACAGAGAATATAGGTACAGAGCCCTGAAGCTATTCATTAAAAATAGACAGACCGCACAGGTTGATACGCAGATCTTAGAGCAGTCTTCGAATAATCACGAAGCTTTTGAGGAATACATAAAGTAGTCAGTGAAAAGGGTGAGACTCTACAGAAACCCCCCAGCTATCAAGAGAAAAAGTGCCCAGATGCACTAACTTGAAAAAGACTCAACATGAACTGTCAATCTTCACCGTTAAATTTTTATAATCTCCAGAATTGTTTCAAAGTGCTCAAAAGTGTCAAAAGTGAATTTTGGTTTGGAAAAGATAAATCGTCATTATAATTGCAGAAATTAAGGAAGACTAAATTTAATTTTAAGAAAATAAGAAAAAATTAATTGAGATAAAAATTTTTATAAGTGTTGCCAATGCAAGGAAAAAACTATATAGATACGCATTTCCAGTAAAGCTTTAATATTATATTTTCTCTATATATATTTATAATATTTGTAATTAAATAAATGGCTTTTATATTGGATAATTTTATATAATATAATTTTGTAGCAAAAATTTTGTATATATAAAATAAGTTTTATTAATATTTAAAAAAAATTTTTTTTGAATATTTTATGAATTATTCTGTATAATATAACATATTTTTATATATTAGTTGAGTCAGTGCACTTGAGCACTTTTACTCCCTATTAACTGCGAGGTTTCTTCAAAACCCCTCTCTACACCTTGACTGGATTATTGTTTATCACTTCGTCAGACTAAGCAATAATTGACCTCAGATCTGCATACCTTCCCGAGGAGCCTGCAACCATTCTGAGATTCGATAACGCGGTGTGGGTAAGTCTATCAGTAAATAATTTCAGGGCTCTATCCTTTATATATTTTGTGATCGGATCAAACTTGAGGTCCCTGAGGTTGTCATTTATTCTAATGTACCATGGTACCTTGAAAAGTCTTCTCAGAGCCTAGTTTCGTGGTTTTTTTTTAAATTTTTCAATTTAATTGCACTATCTTTAGGCATTAAGCAAGACTTATAGAAATATCTTTATAAGATACAAATTAATAAAAAAATTTTTTTTATTTCTCTAATATATCTATTTGCTTTATATTAAGACATTAAGCATTGGTAATTTATTTATTATATAAATAAAAAAAAATTAATTAAATTTTTTCAAAAGAATATAAATTATTTTCTCACCTTTGTTTGTTTGAAGAAAGTTTTCTCTAAAAAAATTTTTCACGTTTTTTTTTTGTTCAATAAACTTTTAAACTTTTTAAGAATTAAACTCTTGTATATAATTTTTTTATCTTTTATTTATATTTAATATTTTTCTATTTGATTTGTTTTATTAAAACCACTTGTAATTTTAGACAAAATTTTAAATGAAAATCTCCTGGAAAAACACTCGTCGTTTCACTTTTATTTGGGCTTTAACTCAATTTCGCACCAAATTCTGAGAAATTATTTTACTTCACTTTTTTTTTTGGTTTTATTAAATATTTTTCTACTAAAATTTGTTTGTTTTATTTTTTTATGTTTTAATTTTTTTTTATTATTTTTGTATTTTTTGTTTTTTTACGTTTTAATTTTTTAATAAGCGCCTCTCAAACGTAAACGTGAAAAGACACCACAATTTACTATGCTGACATGAGGTGTGCGTTTGTATTTGTGTAATCCAGATTGTGCCCGACCGACAAAGAGACGTGCAATTATTATGTTGCTACCATGTTTTTATAGCCGAACAGCAAACGCAAAAATGAAACACAAACAAAAAGTGTAAACTTCAGTGCCAGCTTTGAAATGTAAAGGCGGCGGCACAAGCACAGGCACTGGCACTGGCACTGTCACTGGCACTGTCAGCGTAAGCGCAGCCAAACAAACAAACAAACAAACAAACAAACAGACAAACACACACGTGAGAGGTTTACATACAAATAAATTTAAACGTGCTTACGCTTATGGCTTGCGACGACTATGACTGCTACCGCGACGCAAACTACGTAGTCGTTGCAGTCGTTGTCTGCTTTGTAACACGCACACGTTCAAACGTTCAAACAAAGGCAGCGAATTTGTTGTGGCCAAAAACCGGTAAAACTAAATTTGCCACTTCTTTGCCTTTTGCTGGCTTTTACCACTTCTTGTTTATTTTGCTTTTTATAGGTTTTTTTTTAATGACTCCTTGTTTTGTTTTGTTTTGTTCTGTTTATACTTTTCACTACTCTTCGCTTCTATGCAACAACCCTCAAGCAAGTCTGAGCATGAAACCAAAATAACACGATTCGCAATTTTCCCGCAAACACAACCAAATAGCGCGAAGGTAAACACAGAACTGAATATACAATTTTCTAATATGAATGAATTGCTCAGATATGCTTATCAACATGTTGCTAACAGCGTTTGTAGACGAAAGCGCAACAATATTGTTTAGTTTCGTATTACAGAATGATGGTTGAATGGTTGTATGACGAACAGGTTGTGTTGTGTTCGATGTTCGAAATTAAAATGTTGCCAAGGAAATTTATGTGTAGCAAGTGTATATTCCATAAATGTTATTTAATTTAAAATGTGAAAATAAATGTGAAAAACAGCAAATTAATTATATTAAATTTTAATTATTTTTAATTTTATTAATAATTTTATTTTCTTAGATCTCCACGGTACGCTACGCTGTTCTTCTATTGTAGTGCTTTGAGGATTAAGTCAATTATATATTTTTTTATTTGTAAACGGAAATGCGGCGTTCTTCCAGTTCGTTGCTATTGATGTGATGTTGATGTGTTGTGGGACTGCTTTGTGTTTGTCACAATCTTCATTAACTTCAAAAGCAATATTAACTTTTTTTTTTCTTTATTTAATGTTAAATTTCTTATTTACATAATAATAATAAATAAGCTGAGCTAGCTAGCTGATCTTCTGCTAAATTAGCTTTGATGTGCACTTCAGCTCTTTTGCAATGCATATTTTTCCCGCTTTCGTCTGTCCGCTCTCTGTTGCAGTTAGAACAAATGAAGTTAACGCGAATGCATTTATTTTTCCTCAAGTTTGCCATTTTCCTAATGCTTTCTTGTTACCTCAACCGGCATTTTCGCTGATTATATCTGCCAGCGAGCCACCGCGCCATCGAGCCAGCAAAGCAGTGAGCCAGCGAAGAAGCGAGCCAGTGGTTTGTTTTCTGGTGTTCGTCTTTGGTGTTACGCAGTGCAATGAAGCCACTTGACACCATTTGCTGTTAACTTTTCGTTTTTTGTATCGTGAAATTCCTGCTTGATGACAGCTTAAAAGTATGCAATGAGAAATGGTTACCATTTTACGGTAAGCAGTTCGTAGTATGGCGTGTGCGTGTGCGAAATTGTTTCACTAATAAAAAAAATTTTGCTGCTTTTGTGTTGACATTAAGTTTGGTAAACAAAACAAAGAAAAATACCGAGAATAGAAAATAAAAGAATTAACTATTGAAATATTAAATTACCTGTAGTTTTTCCACTACATACCGATTCATCTAACGATTTTAAAAAATTCTTCAAAAAAATTTAAAAATTGAAGTGCAGAAACAAATTATGTAT